ATAAGCCCCCCCCCCCCCCCCCCCCCCCAAGCACTCTTTTTCCCTGGTCAAAGTCTATTTTGTTAAAGGTGTAAATCCAAGGCGAACGTGGGAGTACCATATTGATCTCAGTGGCACTCCTTGGCAGAATCTGGCCTCTGGGTGCATCCCGGAGCAGGCTTAGTGGGTGGCACCTGGCCTGAGCCCTAGGGCAGGACAGTGCATTCCCAGGGGGGTGTTTTCTGGGGCTCTGTTCCCCACGGGAGAGGAGATGGGAGAGGGCAGGACTGTTCCCTTGGCTACGTGCCCTCCGTGCCAAGAAGCCTCATGGCGTTGCATTCTTGCAGAGCGTTTGGGGACGAGCCCCCCTGCTCCATGTCCATGCGTCTCTTGTTCTCCGTGGGGGCCATGGGGTTAGCAGCGTGACGATGTGCCCCGTCCTGTCTGTTACAGGAGGAGGAGGAAAACCCCTTCCCCCAAGGACCATTCATCATCCTCCCAGCGGGCTGGAGCTGGCCGCCGTGACAGTCATTCATCACCCAAAGCAGAGGCACAGAGACGGCCCAGCAGGCGACGGCATGACACAGACTCCTCCAGCAGCCCCCCTCGCCGCCCAGCTCACAGGAGGGGCAGCAGCGACAGCCCCAGCCCCCATTCACCCCCAGCGAGGAAGAGGAGCAGAAGCAGGACCCCTCCAGCACGCGGCGCCAAGCGGCGGCACGACACCGATTCAGACGACTGATTCGGGGCGGGCAGGGGTGGGGGTCCAACACTGCGGTCGCCTTGTTTCACAGGGATCCTGTCTGGATAACAGTAATGAGGCCAGACCTCCAGCTGATGCAAGCCAGTGCAACTCGGACCTAACTGTGTGACCCCAGGCCTTTGAGTGGCTCTCGAGCTTCCCCAGCTGAGGGTCTGGCCCAGGGATTTTTAATGCCTGTCTCTGTTATCAGTTTGCACCTTTTGGATGGTGCCAGCAGCTGTTAAAGCACAGATGCTTTAGCTAGGGCTGCCCTGATGTGCTCTGCTGGCTAGGGCTTGCAGGGAGGGAATCGTTCTTTGTTCTGCTTTGGCCCATTGTAGGCACTTACCCTAGCAAAAATTCTCCTTTGCTGCTGGGACAGTGCCCACACTGGAAGGATGGTGCTGGTAACACTTCTAAGGTAGACTAGCTCTTGGGCTAAGACAGATGAGCTCTTGGCCAAGGATGTTGCCCTGCTCTGGTCTTTGGCTCACTGACTCTCCTGGGAGATCCCAGCCATGCTGGGATCTTCAAGGGTGACAGAATCGCAGTCTTAGTTTTGGAATATCTATTTCTTAATAGCCAACAAAAGGGCTTGTTGGGAAGAGTCTTACTTCCTGTAGGAAGCGTTTGTAGCTTGCCACATGGGCAAGGCCATTGGACTGAGAAAGCAGCGGTTTTTGTTCCATCTGAACGTCCAAGACCCCAGCGGGCTGCAACTGGAACAGCATGAGCTTTTACACCAAAGGAGTCATTGCGCACGGGACCCCTAGGAGTGCACAGCAAGAAGTTTATAGATGTGGTTTTTAACCTGCTGCTGTGTATTAAAATCCCGCAAATGGCTTCTAATGAAGAATTTAGGGGGAGTGCAGGAGCTTTTGTGACTCCAAAGTAATGCCCCCTAAATATAAGGGAACTTTCACCTTTGTTGGATGAACAGCATCCCTCTTCCCTCAGGGGTTCCTGGATATGAGTTGGGGTCAGGATGCGTCTCCAGAACTGCGCCCCAATTCGAGGCTGGCGTCACTTGCATGGGTCTGTTGACTTTCAGGAAGCCATGCCCACATCACATAGAGGAGGGCATTTTCTGCTGAATCCATGCCAGGGCAGAAGTTCCCAGCTGTAGGCTGAACTAGCTGCGGCTGTAACAATATACCTATGGCCCTAGATATGTTGCCTGTGCACTGCCTCTTTGGGCACACATGCTGTGCCATTCTGCTAACAGTTAGATGGGTCAAGACATTGTCAAGCTTGGCTGTGTTGGAAAACTATGGAAGGGTTTGAATGGAGCTGGAAATCTCCGGCCCATTTGCATCGCAAAGCTGACAGTGCCAAGGTGTCCCTGTTACGAGCCTCAACAGCAACCGAGCACTGAGCCTCTCTAGGACTGAAGGCCCACTCTGAACGGAGTCGTGCTGGTGGGACAGGGAAAATGTGGAGGTGTGGGGTAGTTAAGAGGCCGAGGGAACGCAGTGCATTTCCATGGCATGCTCTCTGTTTTGCTTGGACGGAGCAGATGCAACTGCAGTGCTGGGAACTATCCTAGGTCTGGTCTCATATACCTTGCTGTTGCAGAACAGGGTTTTCCAGCACAGGGACTGAGCATCTGAGCTGCTGTTTCCCTCGTAGCAAATGGTTGCAGATCTGTTCTCATGCTGGCTGTAAAGGGGGAATGTGGATGCCTGCTCTCAGCTGTATGTCATGCATCAAAGGGCTGGGAATCCAAGGTTTGGTGGGGTTAATAACTGGGATTGGATGGTGGTGGGAAGAACCAACCAAGATGCGCTGGGGATGGACTTGTACCCTTGGCCCTTTCCTCGACATGCAATTACAGCCAGGTCAGCAGAGCTGGTGGGAAGGCAGCTCGTTCTTCCATCTGGTCTGAATGTGTAGTGTGCAGGGCACCCGACCCTTTCCTTACAATAGGCAGCCCCCTACCCTGAGGGGATGTGTAGCCTAGAGGAGACTGGCCCAAGGCCGCACAGCAGCTCAGTGGCAGAGACTGGATTACAATCAAGATGGGGTTAGACTCGCATCTGGTGCCTTAAGCCTGAGATTGTGCTGCCTCCGCAGTGTGGAAGCATGGCCTGGGTGAGCATGGATGTGGTTCCCTAATGAAAAGGCCCCTGTCCTTTTTGTTTTTTCTTGCAACCTGAGTTACTCTTGGGGCCACTGCAACGTAGCCAGAAGTGCCAGCAGGAAGGCGGTGGCAGCATGCAGGATGCCTGGTAGGCAGGTGTCTGCTGCTCTCCAGCTCTCATCACATTGCCCCTGTTACTACCCTAAGCAAGGTCAGCAAGGAGGCGAGTCCCCATGACCTGTATGTTACTTGAGCTTTTGCATTGCCAGAAAAGTGGGGGAGGGTCCCTGCTTGAAGTACCTTGGCAGGGCATTGTTTTGGGAATGGTAAGAGCTTGTGCAGCCACTGCCCATGTTCTCTCTGTCTGGTTATTTTCTGTCATTCATGCCAAATTCACCTTGTCTAGGGTGTGGCATTCAAACTTGCCTGCCACGGCTGTCTGGAGTTGGACCGGGGAGACGTGTCCCTGCCCTGATCTTCTATCCAGCAGGGAAGTGCCGCAGGATGAAACCCTGGGGCCAGAGCACTAGGCAGAGACAGGGAACGCGCAGCTCCGGTTTTTCAGGTTTTATGGTAGGTAGGATGAATTACGACTGCAGAAGGAAGCCAAGCTGACACCTAGCCTTTGAAACAAGCCAGTGATTCAGCTGCAAAATCACCAGGGCAGGTGCCTCTCGGGCTTTGCTTGTCATTATATGTAGGTTATGCCAACCGTCTGGCTCTTGCTTTGCACGGCTTGTTTTGGATAACTGGGCCAAAATTCCCCCAGGAGCCTGCTGTTGTTTCAGACACCCTGTTTGTGCGACATTCAAATCTAGCATTTTTTTTTCTTCCTTACAATGAGTTCAGTGCTAAGGAAAGTGCAGCAGTCACGGCTCCTTCTGCTTGTGCACCAGACAGGCATGTAGAGAGTAGCAATAGTCTATAGGAGGAAGAAAACTTGTTCAATTCATGGTGAGATTTCTTGGAGCTGGTCAAGGTACAGGACCAGTAAGTGATAATGGGGCTGTTCGGTTTGTTTTTAGGGGGTTTTTTTTCTCCTCCATAGCTTTTAAAGGCCACAATGAACATGCAGCCTAACTCTAGCAATTCAGGGTGTCAGGGATGTGGTTTCTTGTCCACTTTAGTGTCATGTTGCACTGCAGATCCTTGTTAAAAGTGGCAATTACAGCTACAGCCAGACTTCTGCAAAGTGAGTACCAGCTTTGCCTGTGTGCCAAGGGCTGTGTGCTTGTCTACAACCCTAAAGTGCAAAGACATAGCTACAGCCTGGGTAAGGGTACTGGACATATTTAAATGGCAAGCTGGGCTGAGGGCCAGATCCAGTAACCTTGATGGCACTTTTAGGGACCTGTCCACCTCTGCTTGGAATTGAGAGTCCCCAAAATAGCCTGCAGGAACCAGGGAGATGCCTCAAGCCGGCATTCGTAGCATGCAGCTGCCTGTAGGAACTGCTGAAAGTAGGGGCGAGTCTTAAATTGCCACCCATCAGGTGCATTTACTGCAAGGAGATGCCTCATTCCTCGGGGGGCCGCAGGCCTGAGCGCTCTCTCCTGGTGCTTGGCATCTGCATGCTTGGTAAGCAGAGCTGCCCGTCTTGTTTTTGAAGGATGGCCAGTGCTGCTGCTGTCCTTGCCACCTCTGCCACTTGGAGAGTAGCCAAGTGCTTGCACCCAGGATGGGGGAGGCTTGGGCTTAATGCCTCTTCCTCTGCCTGGGGTAGTCCACACCCAGGCCTCCTATTTCTCAGGAAGGTCCTTACCACTGGATCAGGGGCTGTTTTAACTGGAACTGCTTTTCCTGTTAGAGCCAGCCTGCTGGGCAGGACAGAGTGCAAGATGTAGGGGCCAGAGGAAGCAGAGGAGGGAGCCTGGCTGTAGCCTAGACTAGAGGCTTGCACACTTGGTTGGAATGGGTCTAGATTACAGTCCGTGTTCCCATAAAATCATAGAAAATGAGGGTTGGAAGGGACCTCATCATCTAGTGTAACCCCCTGCTCAAAGCAGGACCAGCCCCAACTACCTCACCCCAGCCAAAGTTTTGTCTAGCCGGGTCTTAAAAACCTCCAAGGATGGAGAGTCCACCACCTCTCCAGGTAACCTGCTCCAGTGTTTTACTATCCTGCTAGTGAGAGTTTTTCCTGCTGTCTAACCTCAACTTCCCTCGCTGCAGCTTGATCCCATCGCTCCTTGTTCTGTCATCTGCCCCCACTGAGAACAGCCCAGCTCCATCTTCTTTGCATCCCCCCTGCAGGGAGTCGAAGGCTGCTATTCAATCCCACCTCGGTCTTCTGCAGACTAAATACGCCCAGTTCCTCGTCCTTTCCTCATCATGACTGTATATGTTTGTGCTTTCATCATAGATTCATAGAAGTCGGGTCGGAAGGGACCTTGTAGATCTTCTAGTCCGACCCCCTGTCCTGGGCAGGAGAGAGAACTGGGCTCAAATGACCCTGGCCAGGTAGGCATCAAGCCTCCTTTTAAAGCCCCCCAGGGTAGGAGCCAGCACCACTTTCCTTGGAAGTTGGTTCCAGATCCTAGCCGCCCTGTTTGAGAAGTAGTGCCTCCTGATGTCTAGCTTGAATCTGCTCTCTAACAATTTGTAGCTGTTGTTCCTTGTTCTCCTGGGGGGTGCTCGGAGGATCAGGGTCTCTCCCCAACCCTGCTAGTCCCCCCCTGGTGAGTTTATAGATGGCCACCAGGTCCCCCCTCAGCCTTCTCTTGTGGAGACTGAACAGGTTCAGGTCCCGTAGCCTCTCGTTGTAGGGTCTGCCCTGCTGCCCCCCGATCATGCGGGTGGCCCTCTGGACCCTCTCCATGCTGTCCACATCCCTCCTGAAGTGCAGCACCCAGACATGGACACAGTTCTCCACCTGCAGCCTGACCAGTGTCGCATAGAGGGGGAGGATCACCTCCTTGGACCTGCTCGTGATGCACCTATGGATGCAGGACAAGGTATGGTTAGCTCTACTGACCGTGTCCTCGCATTGTCGGCCCATGTTCATCTTGGAGTCATTATTGACTCCAAGATCTCTTTCTGCCACCGTGCTCTCGAGAAGGGAGTTTCCCAGCTTATAAGTGTGCTGCTGGTTCCCACTGCCCAAGTGCAGCACCTTGCACTTGTCAGTATTGAATCCCATCCTATTTTCATTAGCCCAGCCCTGTACCCTGTCCAGGTCCTGCTGTAATCTGTCCTTCCCTTCTAGTGTGCCCATCTCACCCCAAATCTTGGTCTCATCAGCAATTTGAACAGGTTGCTTTTCACCCCAGCATCCAAATCGCTGATAAATTGAACAGCGTGGACCCAAGGACCAAGCCCTGGGGGACTCCGCTGCCCACTTCCCCCCAGGTTGAATATGACCCGTCCACCACCACCCTCTGAGTATGACCCTTCAGCCAATTTGCAACCCATCTGACCGTGTAGGCATCAATGCCGCAGTCGCCTAGTTTTTTAATGAGGATGGGGTGGTCGACAGTGTCAAAGGCCTTGCTGCAGTCCAGAAAGACTACATCCACGGCGACACCTGCATCCAATGCTTTTGTGACCTGATCGTAAAAGGCAATCAGGTTGGTCTGACATGACCTGCCCCTAATGAAACTGCTGGTTGCCCTTCAGCATCATCCCTGATGCCGGCCCATCACATATGTGCTCCTTGATGATTTCAAAGAGTTTCCCCAGGATTGAAGTAAGACTAATGAGCCTATAGTTGCCCGGATCCTCCCTCTTCCCCTTTTTATTGGAACTATGTGGTTTTTAGTGCCAGGACTGTCTCTTGTGCATGCACATAACAGAGCCCTGGTCCAGTGGGGACTTTGGGGTACTGCCCTCCCACACAATGGTGCGAGCAGGGTGCAGGGAGCCAAGAGGCTTGTTCTCTGCTCGCTTGACTCAAGCCATTTCATAACCCCTTAGCTGAAACCCTGAGTTGAGCAAGGCTTTCACTCCTTATGAAATGGTGAGCAACCAGGAACCTCGTCTGTAGCTGTGCCGGGGGCTGGCTGCTGAGCCAGGTTGTTCAGTCCAAAGTGCAGGCTGAGGCACAGGGAAGAAGGAGCTAGTCTGATTTGCAAGCAAGCCCACAGGGAGAAGGTGCAAGCTGGCAGGATGAATAGGTGTACTGGAGGTGTTTTATTTCTTATTTTTTAATATGAATTTGAATCTCAGTCAGTGGGCTGAAGGGCTGGGGCCTTCAAGGCTGGCACCGGGGTGCTGAGAGGAGGAGGAGGATCGTTTCTGCTTAGCCTTCACCAACGTGATGATGAATTTGTGCTGGAAGTTGGGAGAGAGCTCCTGGAGGGAAGTGCTAAGGCAGATGCAAAGCATCTGGGGAGATCTGGAGGATCCTTTTTGGGACGGTTAACACTAGACCAGCCCAAGGACTCGAGTAGGTGGGTCACAGCACAACCCAAAGCTAGATTAAGGCATGCCATGTCACCCACTGCACCCGAGCGACGGTGTGGCATTGCCCCCGAGTGTCCCAGGGTCTCGGCTCTCTCGCAGGGACAGGGCCTGCGGGGAAAGGGGGCTGCTTTTCTTCCCCGAATGTTTCCCAGCCAGGGAGAGGAACAACGCCACCCCGACAGGCAGTGCCGGTCCCATCACCTCTGCTCAATGTGGGTTATTGCCCGTCAGTGAGCGCCGCCTTGCTCCCTTCCACCCCTCCCCGGCGCTCCCACCGGCTGCCTGAGATCCCAGGGCTGAGCTGACTCGTGGGATAAATATGGTCCCCAACCAGGCCCGCTATTGTCTGCCTCCAATTCATCCTTGGCGTCAAGGCTCGATTTTTATGGTTGTCGTCCACGCTAGCCAGCGGGCCGCCGCTTTCCGAATGGCAGAAGGTCAATTAAAAGAAGGCAACGAGAGCCATCTCCCCTCTGGGGGAGGCCTTTGAGCGCTGGACCTTTTTTGTGAATCTCTCCCATTGTCAGCTGGAAATGAGAGGGGCTGAGAAGGGAAGGAGCTAATGAAGGGGGAGGAAAGCCTCCCTCTCCCCCTGCCCCGACCCATGCCCCCAGAGCCTAGCTCCAGCATTTTCTCTCTGATTAATAGGTCTCCTCCCAGCAGGGAAGGTAGCTTGGGTGGGAAACAGCCGGCCGGCCAAGGCAGGGGTGGCATGATGCTCCAGTGCAAGGCATGGTAGGGATGAGGGGAGCTTTGCTATGAGGGTACGGTGCAAAGGAGATAGCAGGATGTTGCTGCCACCTGGAAGGGGTTGTGTCCCTGCATGTGCTTGGTGCCAGGGGACACGTTTAATTTGCTGAATCGGGAGCACTTGAGGAGGGGAAGGGGGTGGGAAGCAGCCAGGGGTGGCACTACGGACCCCTCCTCTTTGCCCCCTTGCAAGGGCCTGCTGTACGGTCAATGGTATCAGACTTGCAGCCCCAGAGACTGGAGCCCTCTGGGTCTCGGGGTGCTGGGGCTGCTCCCCCAGCCCCTGAACCTTGCAGGGACTGAGCAGTCAGCCTCTGGGGAGACCAGGACAGCTGGCGGGCGAGCCTGGCATGTTTTAGTCTGTGCAGCCATCTCTAGGCCAGGCACAAAGTGTGCTGTAGCATAGGGTGCAAGCATTTGCACCCAAGTACAGTGCAGAGGGTTATTAAGGGTCCCTTCTGTCTGGTGCTTCAGGTCTCTTCCCAGCGCACAGAGCTGGAGTTAGCTCTCCCAAAAAAACAAAGGGCTGCCCCTACTGAGGGTTGGCCCTTGCAAGGTTGGCCTTTCTGGTAGCAGGGATGAGGGAGTGCAAGCCCCGTGCTTGGGAAGTCACAGCCTGGTGTGCGGGAGGAAGTGCTGGCCGCCATCGCAGCGGTAGGGCGTGTAGGCAGAAGGCTTTTAGGACTACCTAAGGCTCAAGGTGTTCCCCGTTCATGGCTATGAATCGTCTGAGTCCTTGCAAAATGGGGGAGACCAGCCTTAGCTAGAATGCCTGTATCGATCTAGACTCATGGTAGAGGTGATCTCTCTTATTACAAACAGTTTGCAAAAAAAAAATTTTGCAAAAATCTAGTTGGTCTAATAAAAGAGATCACCTCCACCACGAGTCCTGATGGCTTTTGCTTCTAGACCAATGCGGCTGCAACCTGGATACCTATAGCTAGCTATGCTCGCGCTCAAGGGATAGCTACCTAACACCTTTAAAAGGAGACCTTGGTAATACAAATGCATCAGCTGGCTGGACCCTAAGGACCAACGGCTAAATATTGACACTGGGTCTATGGCACATTGTAATTTATCCATCTCCTGGATTCTTCCCACACGAGGAAGTTGAGATTTGACTCTTTTGGTAGGTCTTGATCTCCCCCGGTAATCGGTTTCTTTGTCTGCTCATTGTGTGTCGGCTACCTCTGAGAGTTTTTCTTGGTCCCTTTCCTCTGCCGTGTTTCCCGAGGCTTCCTGTGATCAGAGACCTGATGGAGAGTGTCTTGCGTTGGAAAGGCTTGTCTAACTTTATCCTAACAACATAACCTAGTTGATCCAATAGAAGACATCCCTAAATAAAGTCTTGCCTCTCACATGTATCTGATGCCTGCAGGTGGTGCTGCTGCGCCTTTCATGTCTCTTCTGCGATGAGCCCCTTTTCATGCAAGCAAAGTGGAGGGCACGGTGGGCTGGCTGGTGCCTGCTTGTTGGGATGGAGGGGAACTGGGAAAGCTTTACTACCACCAGTTCAGTCCTGTGCAGGCTGCAGATGCTGCTGGGAGCGATGTCCCTGCATGAGGTCTTAGGTAATCGAGAAGGGACCATTAGATCATCTTCTGTGTCCGAGTGCTGGCGAAACCCAGGTCTGGGGACTTCACCTTGGTACCCTTGTATGGAGCCCAGTAACTTGTGTCTGGCTAAAACATGCCTTCCAGAAAAGCGTTCATCTGAAGATGCCAGGAGATGCAGAAGCTATCCTCCCCTCCTGTGGTCCAGAGTTAATCCCCCTCGCTGTTAAACGGTGGTTCCCCTGCTTTACCCGTGGCCGGTTAGGATATTAAGTCTTGTGATCGTGTCAGGGTTGACCGTGTAGTTTTGCTAATACGTTAGACAGTGGATTTATCTAGGATGGCTTGGATAGGGAT